AATTACCAATTGAATCTATACAGTCAAAACACCCTTCTTCAATGTTTTGAAAATTATTGATATTTTATTTGAATGTTCAAAATATGTAATTACTTCTGACCATCAGCTTATTATCATTTCCTCTAACTCTGGATACATCTCCATTTACATTCTTGGTTTGATGGATTTGACATCTGTGAAAAGAAAAGTCTTTGAAAGAAAATGGGGAAATCTGGGTTACATGCGAGTTGCTATTAAATTGAAAACTGCCAACAGAGGAAAATTGGATAGTGCCCTACTTACATAACTATTAAATAGACTCTGGTTCCCACATAAATTCTATTCCTAATGGGTATTTGTTGGTTCTTCTGGGATCTTATGAAAAAAGTGTTGTAAATGTGTCTTTGGGGGAGTCTATGGTTGATTGTAGTAGCAGTGGTTCGAGCATTTGCTGTGGTTGGCTTTATCTCAGGTCATACTCTCTTCAAATCTTCCTGGTTTGGGGTATATGTAAAATATTCTTTGCCTAAGGCATATGTAGTGAGAATCATTCTTTTTCTCAAAACAAGATAGAAAGAAGAACATTGGCCTAGGATTGAGGTGGCATGAGAGCTAGCTTGTCCCATTACCTTATCTGACAACTAATAATTTTTTGTTTCAGTTATATCTTATGCAAAATTTTAATAATGACAGCAGTATTCTGAGTTATATGAACATGTTATAAATAATGCACTAAAATGCTGGAAAAAGAATAAATTTATGGTGAGAAAAAAAGAGAAGGAAATTGGTATTTATTTCATACGTATTAGATGTCATGCAAGGTGGCAATGTGATTCACAACCAGATTATGAGGTATCGTTATCTCATTTGGAAACTTCAGAAAATTGGGTTCAGAAAGATTGAGCAATATATCCATGGCTACAGAGCTATTAAGTGTCAGTGACTTCAGGTACACATATGTGCATGATCACTTACTGTGCCATGCTAATGGGGTTCTACTTCTGCAAAGATCATGGGAAATATAATATAATTTTTATAACCTGTCAAAGTGATTGAGACAGACAATCTCTATGTCTCATTAGAGTACCAAACATGTATGCCCCAAATGTAATGAAATTTTGTTTTTACTGTACTTATCATGTCTCTCAGTGATGCCAAACTAGCCTTCAGTCTGAGAAGAATAATTTTTCTGAGTAACTCAGATAACACAGGTGTCTAGATTAAGGTACAAAAAAAGGTTTATTACTTAAGTCACATTTCTTTATTTCCCAGCTGAGCTATTATTTTAATATCAATTATTTTTAAAAAGGGGATATTCTTCTAGATATGCTAGTATAGTTCATTAAGCAAGATAATCTGTATAATATAATGGGAAATTAGAAAAGTAGGACTAGTACAATGAATGTAATAAAATAGCCTATGTAAATATTCATTTATACATACATAAATGTAGGTGAACTCATGTTCAACTGCAACCTGTACATTTATTGCTGCGGATTGATAGCCATGATTCACAGTATGTTAACATTAAAATATACTTTGTGTATATATCTGAGCCATTCAAACACATTTTTAGAGATCAGTTTATTCTAAGTTTCACTAAAGCTTATTTGATATTTTATCATTTTCATTATTTCTTCTTTTTCACCTTACATTATTTTGTAAATGATAAAAAGCTGCACTGAATAAATGAGAACAATTGTACTATTTTTTTTTCTCATTTGATTCACATGTAGTTGGAGAAAGTAAAAGTATTTATTTTCTGAGTAGAATCAGCACCAAGTTGTCAATTAGGTCAGGGCTTCTTGCCATTTAAAATTCTCATTTGATTCACATGTAGTTGGAGAAAGTAAAAGTATTTTTTTTCTGAGTAGAATCAGCACCAAGTTGTCAATTAGGTCAGGGCTTCTTGCCATTTAAAATTGACAAAATAGCAAAATGTACCAGACTGCAACACTGGATAGAGCTATTAGGCCTCCCCAGGATCCCTGGTCTTAAGTTTGGCCTTAAATCCCTTCTGTCAGGAACTAGTAACTGTTAGGATGGTCTTGGCCACTGGCCTCATGAAACAGAAGGAAAATAGCAGAAGCAACTGAAATACTACAGTAAACTTGACACTATGTTGCAGTTGGACACACAGACCATCAAAGAAAGACACTTGTCATGAACAAATAATAAAAATTTCAGAGATAGGTTTTATGCGGCTGATAAAAAGGTGATCAAGCATGGTTATAAAATGAAAAAAAGATTTTAATATGAGCTTACAATTTCATAGTAAGAAAATACAGTAATGTGGAAATGGTTAAAAGAATATGATTTTACATCAGAAGATTTGGGCTTGCATTCTGGCATGGATACTCACTCGCTGTGTGACCTTGAACAAATCTTTTGATCTCTCTAACACATAATTTATTGAGTGATTCATAAGACAGAAATATTAAGACTATCTCTCACATAGACTTGTTTTAAGAATTCAATTGAATGATTTATGCAAATTTGTTAGTACATTACTTGGTCCCAAGTAAACACTTTAAGAATATTAAACGTTATTGTTATTATTTTTTCAAGAACTTTCTTCATCAGGTACACACACACTTTGAATTGATTTATTTTGGGTAAAAGATAAAACAAGAATGTCATCAATTATATGAGTCAATACAGTGAGAAAATATAAAATAAATTATTTTCCTGTTGTTAATGTTTTGTATTTTATTTTCTGGTAATATGTGTATGTATTTATGACATAGATGAGAAATAATAAATGTTCTCACAATTTAGAGTATCAAAAACTTTTTATTTATTTATTTTTAGTTTTTTTTTAGTGTGGGGCATCACCACCCAGCACTGGGAGCTTGGCCTCAACTACTGTTTTCAAAGTGGCATTATTATCAATTTTTAAGCACCCATAACTTATTTATTAAAAACATAGATGTTCAAAAGCAAATCTTATATATATGTATAGGTCCTGAGATTATATTCATATTCACGGAAAATCGTCTAGTGAAATCTTCCTTGTGAGTACTGTATTTTAAGGAGAGAATCCTAATATGGTGATTTCTATTTAAATATACACACTATAGCCCTCAAATTATTTATAAATATTTGTTTTTAAATGTTTGAAAATTCTGCGCAATTGTATCATATTGTATAGTCACGTAATATTTTTAGTGTGAAGCATGATTTGATTGGCATTGTTTTCAGAGACTATTGTTCAAATGATAAAGTTGCAGTGAATGTGTTTGCAAGAACATAATATAGTGATTTGGTTGTGTGTCATTATATTTAGGACATGAAGTTATTCTCAGTTTGTAGAGGAGGGTAAAATGATCTATGACAATATAACCAGGAAAATTTTAAAAAATCACACTTTTGTTGCTATTGATTTTTGTTAAAACAGGACAAAATTGTGGACTTGCATTGAATATGGAAATGTAAGAAAATATTCTAATTGTTAACTCAGAGTTTTAAAACTTTAAGTCAGTTTTAGTCTCAAAACTGCTTCAAAAGTAAGTAAATTAGTTAATGGATAAATAAAGAAATAAAAATTGTGTAATGTCACATAAGGAAGCTGTGATGTTCCCTCAAAGGATATCTCTATAACTACTGCCCAGAAACAGGGGTATCCTAAGATAATATTCAAGTTTCCCTTCCAAAAGTTTATCTCTAAAATCATTTGCCAGTAACACTTCATGTCAAAACTCAGAAGGTAACCAAGCTCAAATCTGAACGTGGTCTTCAATTTTATGTCCCTTATCATTTCGATCACCTGACTTAAGTTTTAGTCAGGTAAACTGATTGCATTGCAGCCCAAGGTCAAGGAACACTTGTAGAATCATGAACCCAATAGTGGTATGGACTGGCTATTTAGATTTTTTTCTTACTTTGGTCAAGCTCCGCCCCATCCTCTGCTAGAAGTCCAGTTGGGGGAAATAGCCAGTGAGCTTACCAAATGTTGGACCTTATCCTCTGAAGCATTGCATAAAGGGACCCCATCTTTTCAGCACCTCCTGCCTAGTCTGGTCGAAAGTGCTGAAAGAACAGCTCCCAGTGGTTCAGGTCTTCTCAATAAGCACTCCCAGGAAAACTGCACCCATCCCCTTTCTGCTACAAACAGCCATTCACAAAGTCATTTCTGATTCCTTGGAAATTTAGTTAGACTGATGTTGCAATACACTTCTCTACCCTACGTGTATAATTATTCGTGGGTGGAGAGCTACAAGGGAAGGAAAACAAAAAGAGTAGAAGCGGGTTTTGTCCTGACTTCTAAAAATCCCTTCTTCCCCTCTCCCGTTTTCCAAATCGGAGAATGATGGAGTTCGAGGCAAAAGAATGATTCCGGAAATAAAGACACGACTCTCAAACCTGGAAATAATCGGGACGATTTATTTAAAGTTAAGTATTCCGTGTCCGGAAACCCAGCACAGTTCAGATTTAAAGGCGCCTGGGTCTTCTCTACGAGAAAATGCACAAACAGTTGCCTCCAAAGATAAAAACCTGGTTCCAGAGCGTGTTCTTGCTGTCCTCTAAGCTGCAGCCGAAGGCGGGGTGGGAAGCGCTCACAACCTGAGAAAGTACGAAAGACTCTCCAAACCCAGTGGCCAATTCCCGATCGTCCAGGACTCTTTCCTACCATCCCTCACCACTCGTGACACTGCAAGATACAGGGACTTAGACATGTGTGTGGGAGTATGTGGGAGAGGGAGGCGAGAGGAGCGTGCGCTCTCCACATGTGTAGCCCTGCGTCTCCCTGTTCCATAGCTTGCGTTCATTCATGTGCATGCCGTGATTAAACATTTCACCAAAGGTGAAATAGTTATACCGATCGGTTGTATTTTTAATGGGCACACCCTCAAATAGGTTGTTCCCAAATTGCAAGTGTGAAGAAGATCGTTAAGTGTAGTGCCTGTGTCTCTAACTGATTAAACATTTCACCAAAGGTGAAATAGTTATACCGATCGGTTGTATTTTTAATGGGCACACCCTCAGATAGGTTGTTCCCAAATTGCAAGTGTGAAGAAGATCGTTAAGTGTAGTGCCTGTGTCTCTAACCCTGTCTATCTTTTCTTCCTCCATTCCCACTCCCCCCTCCAAAAGGGAAGCTTGCAGCAGATTGTAGAAGGATTTGAGTCTGCAGCTAGAGAGAAGGGGATTAGGGCCAGAGCGGTGCAAGTTAAATTGTGCTGCATATAAAAAATGGGCGGATTGGTCTCCAGATCTAGAGGCTGGTACCACCTTCCTTTCTAAAATAAAATCTCTCTCTGGCATGAAGTCACCGCCTATTTCACATCCGGTTTGCCCTGGGACGTATTACTACTGTCTTGGTAGAGAGAAGTCTTTTGTTGTATAGCTGCAGATTGGATATTGAGAAGCAAATTTGGGTGTGCAATCTTCAGCAAAGGAGCACGCAGAGTCCATGATGGCTCAGACCGAGTGAGTGAGAGGCAGGGCGAGGACGCCCCTCCGCTCCCGGCGCGCCCGGACTCGCACACTCGCGCCGGCTCCGGGCTCTCCGCGATTTTCTCTCGCAGACTTTTCCCCGGTCTTGAGCGATCCTGTGCCCAGAGGGGGCCCGAGGTAAGTGCGGCTTCGGACCGCGACACACAGAGCTTTGAATGTGGCTTTTCCTAGCTGGAGAGACAGGAATGCTCTATGGAAAAAATAAATAAATAAAAATAAAAAGAGCAAGCGGGAGCAGGACAAGTGCCCGATCCCCTAGCAGGTAGAAACAACGAATGTTTTTCTTTCACGGTGAAAACCGCAGCGACATAGAGAAGCATTATTTTTTTCTCTCTCTGTTTTCTTTCCCCCTTTCTTCGGCAGCTTTGAATTTATTCCGCGGGGTGGGTGGTGACATGTTGTTTTGGTCATTTTTTGCAAGGGGGAGCTGGGTGAGTTGGGGAAGGAAGGCGTTGGGGGCCATCCTCTAAAGTTAAGACGCGGGGACAGAAAACCTGTCTCACTGTCCCTTCCTAGGGAAGGCACCCTCTCATCCTGGCTGCAAAATTGCCTCTTTTCTCCTCTCCAGTGGACGCTGCTGAAATGCCCTCTGGTGTAGGGGTCTCTCTCATTCTGAACATGAAAAACTCAACTTATTCTTTGATATGTGTGGCATGGGATAATGGTGTTTGGAGTGTGTGTGCCTGGGGTGGGAGAGGTTAAAGGTGGAAAGGGGGTAGGGAATAGCTTAGCGTTTCTTTGAAACTATTATGTTTGTATTTGCAAGAAACTTTCTCACTCAACAACTGAAGTGCCATGACGGGTTTGTTTTTCTCTTTTTAAAATGTCAGAGGAGGTACAAAGCTATGGTGCCTTGCACTGAGGTTTTGTTTTGTTTACCCCATTAGGAATTCCTCCTTTTTACAAAGATCAACGAAAATTAATAGGGCTAAGAGAAGTTGTTTTTCCTTCATAACATATGCTAAAGGTTAGTAAGAGGGTGAATATAATTGTGCAATTTAGATGCAATATTTTAACATAAGGATATTTATTCAAGATTTCTAGTCATATTCAACTCATCTGTGTCAAAACCAGTCACTAAATTAAGTAAAAGCTATGATGAGGCGAACAGTTCTTATCTATAGACCGTTTCACTTTAAACACATTAATTATGTTTCATTGCTTACATGCTTGTTGGTAATGTTTTCTTTTTCTTTTTTTTTCTTTCTTTTTTTTTTTTTTTACTAATTTAAATGATCCCTGAGAGTGTAGAAAGCATTTTGTAGTTGTATTTAAAGGCATACCACATTAAACTATAGAGTTGCTGATGAAAAATATGCTTTAAAAGACTTACAATCCATTAATCACTGACCCTACTGAGGAGTATAGATCTAGGGAAGTGTTAACAAATACCTTTAACATTTCTCATATTATGACTGGAATCAATTACAGAACAGTATAGTGAAATGTTATCATATCTGCTCCTTAACAGTGCAATGAATTTCAAAAATTAACTCCACCAATAGATTGTACATATTTATAATTCTTTTAGCTTTCCATACTTTTTCATTCCTCCAGCATCCTGCTACCAAGTCTAACAACAATCAGATGGTGATTGATTGCACTTTACCTAAGAGGGGGAAAAATAAAAAAGATCCCCTTATTCATGCAAAGCAAAGCACTCCAGCTTCCATCTGTTTGAGATGAAACATTTTCCAGCAGCAACCTGGCAGAATTCAAGAGCGCTTAAAAAAATATGTGTGGGCATGTTTGTGAGCATTTATGTGTGTGTGTGGTTTGTATGTGTGAGAGAGATTGGCACATGGCTTGACTATTAAGTGTGTCCTTTAGCCTCACAGAAGCATTAGGGAGCATATTTAACAAGGCAGTCACAGACACAGAATATAAGCATGACTTCAGCATTCAACAGTATGTTTTGTGTGGTTTTTAAAAATATAATACAGTTGCTTCTGAAATCAAAATACATCCAGAATTCAAAGATGAATACAGTCAGTAAAGCATGTTAAATGGCCCCATCCCACTCCCAAACATGTTCTCCCTGTTATAGACACCAGCTTAAAAATATCAATGCACAATTCAGTCATGGGAACTCAAATCAGAAAGGTCAAAATTTTCAGATGATAAACAACAAGAGAATAAATTAAACTATATTGGAAATATGAAACCTAGAAGAAAACAACTCACAGTTTTTATGTTGAGCAATATTGTCACCAGAAAGCATTTCAACCTGTATTCTTTTTCAAGAGAAATTGTGATACTGATATATTTCTGAATGGAGAATTGGAAGGGAAAGTGGAGAATGGATGGTCCAGGTTTCCATTGCTTCCAATGAGGTGTCATATCCCAGTGAGGTCATTTCCTGACTTCAAAGCATTCATCTGAACTGCCTCAGTCAGCCCTAGTGGTTATAACTTGATGTTTCTTGCAAAAGACATTGATCTCTACTTATTCTACTTTTCAGCTGCTCAAGCCCGTGATGAAGAAAAGCCCGGGTCTCTCTGACTATCTTTGGGTGTGGACTCTCCTTCTGAGCACATTGACTGGAAGAAGGTGGGGACACTTTATCTTAAATCTGCATGAGAATTTCTATAACTTTTTATTTATCCCATTGGGGGAAGAAAATTGTCCTTGGATGAATTCATGACTAAGGGAATTCATAAAAACTTAACTAC